AAAAGAAAGGACGGTCCTCAACAAAAGTTGCATCATAAGAGATACGCATGCGACGGGAAGAAGGATCATAACAATGATAGCCCTCATGCTTAGGACTATATCCTAGGAAAACACATTCAACCGACTGAGCAGTCAGCTTACTTCGCTCATGAGGTGCAAGCAGAACATAGCATAGGCATCCAAAAACGCCAAGATGATCATAGCTAGGAGTTCCAAAAAGAACTTCACCAGGACACTTGCAGACAATTTAGACTATGGTTGTCTGTTAATAAGATAAACAGATGTGGAAATGACTTCTCCCTAGAAATGTAAAGGAACAAAGGAGGCAATCAAAAGTGTTCGAGTTGTTTCTATGAGATGACAATGTTTACGTTCAGCAACACTGTTTTGAGCATGAGCGCCAGGGCACGAGAGCTGAGGAAGAGTACCTTTTGAGGACAAAAATTGGTAAGTCCAGCAGCAGCGGCGGCTCCCGATGGGCCACCAAGTCCAGCCATGGTGGGCACGGGCGAGTAGACTCCAGCAGCAGCAGCAGCACAGACACCTCCACCACCATCCCCTGCTCAGGCAGGCCAGGGGACTCCACCGATGATGGTCGGGTTTGCCACACCACCGAGCGATCTGGGTGCGCACGTCGACACGCACCATGACGGCAAGGTGCACTTTCGCACCTTGGACAACCTCGGCAGTGGCTCGACTGCTCTAGGCTTGGCAAGCAGAGTCCTCGATGACGAGGCGCTCTTGTTGATGAGCATCGAGGAGCCACCCATGTTCGCACAGGCCGAGCGGGATCCAAATTGACTGAGGAGATGAAGGCCATTGAGGACAATGGGACTTGGACCTCATTGATCCTCCTATTGGATCCGTCCCAATCGACTCAAATGGGTGTACAAGGTAAAGCAGGACAAGCGCAGTGCCATCATAAAGCACAAGGCGCGCCTCGTCGCCAGAGGCTTCGTCTAGAAGGAAGGCATCGACTTTGAGGAAGTCTTTGCATCGGTGACACGCATGGGGTACGTTTGCCTACTGTTGGCTCTAGCAGCAGCGAAGGAGTGGAGCATCCACCACCTAGACATGAAGTTTGCTTTCCTCAGTGGTGAGCTAGCGAAGATAGTCTTCGTCAAGCAAGCTCCGGACTTCACCGTCAAGGGAGCAAAGCACAAGGTGCTATGGCTGTGCAAGGCCCTCTACATGCTACGGCAGGCCTGCGGGCATGGAACGCCAAGACGCCATGCTAAGCGAGCTTGGTTTCACCTGGTGTACCATAGAGCATGTGCTTTACACGTGATGACAGGGAAGGAAGAGCTCATCGTCGATGTATATGTCGATGATTTGATCGTCACCGATGCACGAGCAGAGGACATCGACGGCTTCAAGGGCGAGATGGTGGCTTGGTTTTGCAGGAGCGACCTCGGCCAGCTCTCCTACTACCTCGGCATCGAGGTGAAACAAGAGAGCAGCTCCATCACCCTGTGTCAGCGCACGTATGTAGAGAAGTTGTTGGACCAGAGTGGCATGGCTGGCTACAAGCCATGCGCGACTCTGATGGAGGAGCGGCTAAAACTGTCGAAGGATAGTACCATGGAGAAGATGAATGCAATGATGTACCGGAGTATCGTTGGTGGACTACGATATCTGACTCACGCTGCCGAACATCGCATTTGCAGCCGGCTAAGTGAGCAGATTCATGGAGGACCCACGAGAAGACCATTGGGCTACGGTGAAGCGGGTGCTACGCTATATCAAAGGGATGGCAGACCATGGCGCCCTCTTCCCCAAGACCGGTGGAATTGGGATGCGGCTCAAGAGCTTCAGCGATGCAGACATGGTGGGCGACATCGATGGCTGAACAAGCACCTTCGCCATGCTCGTCTTCCTCGGTTCATCCCCGATTGCCATTCAGTCACTGAAGCAGAAGGTGGTGGCGTTGTCAATGTGCAAGGAAGAGTATGTCGCAGCGGCCACGGCGGCATGCCAGGCTGTGTGGCTGCGCCAGCTACTGGGTGAGCTAACCGGCGAGGAAGCTCGTCCGCCAGATCTAATAGTGGACAATCCTCACCAAGAACCCTGTCCTCCATGACCGGAGCAAGCACATTGACGTCAAGTACCACTTCCTTAGAGATTGCGTCGATGGAGGACAGATCGTCCTCAAGTTCGTCGAGACTGGCCAACAGCTCATGGACATTCTCACCAAGTCACTCGGGCATCTTTGTTTCACTAAGATGAAGAAGATGATTGGCATGGTGGAGGTCAATACCTCGGGTTAGTAGCAGGATTTGGGGAAGAATTGTAAGATAATCTGCTGCCCCCCCCCATTCTCTCATTTGTTGCTACAGCAGAGTTGGCACTCAATCAGCTCTGTTGACTCCTGTTGAGGTATTGCAATAGGCCATCATCACCTCCTTGTACTAACTAGTACACTAGATAGTAGTGGAATACATCAGCCATACTTAGTAGTTGAGGCTGATCTCAGCCATGTATTGGTAGTGCATGTAGTTGGTGTACTAGTGTACCTAGTAGAGGTACTAGTTCGATGTATAGAAGCTAGGACAATAAAGGGTGTACTCAGTGCAGAGAGCTCCCGCTCTGTGCGGGGTCTGGGGAAGGGTGTCAGTGGCAAGCCTTACCTTGCCTGTGCAATGCGAGGAGACCGCGACTCGAACCCGGACTTTCCGGTCACAGGCGGTAAGACTCTACCGCTTGCACCAGGCCCGCCCTTCATTGAAGCTAGGACAATGCAATGAAAAAAATAGTTTAGTTGTTGCTCTTTTAGGCGTGTGCGCTGTGGTGTAGTGCACTGTTCTCACATCTTCTTCTACCTCTAGCCATGAGTGTGAGTGTGTGTGTGTGCCAGTGAGCTAATTGCTCACATGTGCAGGGAGTCCAGGGGCCAACACTTGGACACTTTGGAAGCATATATTGCAACAATTGTGTTTTTGATGGAGTGTCACCAAACCTGATTAGAGCTTTACAGCTCGCTAGTGAGGAACTACATTTCTAGGGTTTGGCTGGGGCTAAAGGTGTTTCATAACTTTTTGCCTTGGGGCCAAACTAAGTTTGTGGGCTTCGGTCGTGGTCAGACTTGTTTGTAATAGGTGCGTGTTGGTTTTGAAGGACCTGGTGTGGGTGTGTGGGTGTTTGTAAGGGCTCTTCCCCTTTTTTCTTCTTAATATAATGATGCGTAGCTCATGCGTGTTCGAGAAAAAAAGTTTTATTACTTGGTATCATAACTCAAATTTCTAAAAAAACAGAAGTGACAACCATATATATGGGCAGAAGAAACAAAAAAATTCAACTACCAAATATGATGATATAAATGGCTACTGTAAACTAATAATTGATAATAGTATCAAGTAAAATATGCCAATACATCCTGATCACCGGTATATAAAAACACACCAACCAAATTTTCCTACATTTATTATGAAATTTGATGAATCGTCCACAATGAAATGATAATCACCTTCATCAAAATTATCTGTAGCCCGTGGTTTTCCTTTCCTAACTTGCTCGGAATGTACGGCTGCTGAACACAATTTTGATGGTGTGGACAAGTTTACTCGCAATTTACCTGACAAATGATCTGTTCCATTCCCTCCAAATTGAGAGGTATTTGAATTTGAATTTATTGTTGTATCTCAAAATCTTGGACTTCTTTGAGGCATTGGATCAGGATCACTATTAAATAATCTTTCAGAAACCTGAAAATTCTAATATCACAAGAAGCTAAATATCAACGGAAAAGAGTACAGACTACAGAGGAGTGTTTACAAACTGATCTCAAATCTACAGAACAATAAAACACATCCTTTTTTAGATTACACATGGGGCACTCCAACAAAAGCAATAAGAAAAGTAAGACCTTCAATGGATGTAAAGGTTAAATAGTTTTACTCCCAATGTGTATTACTCCCTCCGTTCCAAATTATAAGACGTTTTGGCTTTTCTAGATACATTGCTTTTACTATGTATCTACTTCTAGACATAGTGTATATCTAAGTGCATAGCAAAAGCTATGTATGTAGAAAAGCCAAAACTCTTATAATTTGGAATAGAGGGAGTATCACAAGATGAACTTGTAACACTACAAGAAACAATTCAAGAATAGACTTAGGATTATATCGATCATTTTCAGTGCCTTGTACTCCCTCCAGTAATAAAATGATGCTTTTGGCATCAGCACGGTCTCTAAAACACAACAAACACTTTTTTGTTACAAAATGTTTATTAAACATAAAAGTAAAATTTTTATGGAACTGCATTTTGATTCAAATATATTCGTACCATTTCCAAATATCTAAAGTTGATATATAGAAAGAAATTTGTAACCAAAGTTTAGAATGATTGGCTTCAAGCAACCCCAAAATGTCCTACTATTTTTGTGTGCAGCACTGCAGGTAGAGAGAATGTTACAAAAGAGTATGTAAACACAAGAATGACGCAATGATCTAACCATTATTTAAACATCATCAGGACCAATGGTATTATAAGGCACTTTGAGTTTTTGAGATCATGGTGTGTTGTTGGTACACAATTGGCTCACTAGTACTGAAGAATGGTTCAATGAGCAACAAAAACCATCATGTAACAGCAAACAAACTGAAAGATATGACTGATCCTGATACTATGTATTACTATTATAATAGGTGACAACAACAAATCCAGCACTGTGACTCCTGATACAAAGGATCACCAATGTTAGTTTTACAGAGACTTCAAGGGGAAATTAAGTATAAAACTACTTTCGCGGTAGATAATGAAGCATTTACATGCGGCATTAGTATGACCAACTGGAAAATATCAACATGACATAAAATAAACATAAACCAACACATATGTAACTCTGCTTAACATATCCTTTTCAGGTAAGAGTCAGGGGAGGGGGCTAGCATGATGTAAAATAAAATGAGAGAAATGTGAACTATAGTGATAGATAGGCCATAAAAATCATGAAAAAACCGTGGAGGTTCTAAAGATCAGGAAACCGGCAGGTACATAAGTTACAAGTAGCAGCATTCAATGATAGCAATCAAATGAAAGACCCCAACCTTCTTTGGCCTTGCTTCATCCAAGCATTTCCTTCTAAGTGGTTGGCTTGCTCCATTAGCTTTTTGTTTCATGGGAGCATCACCACTTATTGTATTCTGATAAGCATGGACATTCCTAAAGAGTGGTGGTGGCATGATACCAGAAGTCTGCATGATTAAATTAAGTAAAATGGAACTCAGCCGACAGACATGTTATAAAATAATATCATAAATGAAGAAAAGAAGTCGCCAAGCACAACTGGCTCAAAATTGTATAAAACATTTCAATAGTTAAGACACAATATAATTCCCTCAGTGCAATAGAAAACCAACTAGCAACTACTATGGACAATAATTATGGTCTACCAAGCAACAGTGCCACACGGCTCTATATCATCAGAACGTTGTTCACAGGACAGACAGATGATAGATAACTCCTCAGGGCATACTCAGTGCTGAAAGCTCCCACATAAGGTGGGTCTCGGGAAGGGAATTCTTTTTTTTTTTTTGAGCCATAGGGGAAGGGAATTCTAGGCAGCCATTACTTTGCTAGTTTGCAATGAGGCTGATTGGGACCCAGGACATCCAGAACAGGTGGAGAGACTTGACCACTGCATGCCAGACCCACCCTTCTACTTCATTGCAAGGAAAAAATGTTTTTTTTAGGAAAGGTAGATGGATCAGGAATTCAGGATAGATGAAACAAGAAAATTCTGGAGTCTAGAAAGTTCTTGAAGGACTAAAATGAGCCATCTGAGCCAGCATCAAATAATTGGTAACATAAGAGACACCAAGATAGCACTGCTTTTTTAACATGGTTCTACCAACTGTTGATTACATTTAGTCCCCTATTAGGTGCACATTGGCAGAACTTAAGTCAAGAATCAAACAGGTTATACTGACCTGTGCTGCAGTTGGTGATGGGGCGTCAAAGTGTGCTACGTTAGAGGTTGCACTGTTCTGCACATGCAATGCAGTTGCTCTTACATGAGGATAGCCAGGTACTTCTGCTATGTTGTTAGCATGAAGCTGTTTGATTTGCTTAGGACTAATATCCCCAAGACTTGCAGAGATACTGGATGACAGAACTCGATTTTCATTGGCAGAGTTTGACTTCACCAGAGTGGACATGGATGTGTGTTCCTGCTGGAGGCGTAGAACAGTTGATTCATTAAAACACTCATCAGTATCTTCAGCAACACCTACAAGATGAAGACACGATTTTAATGTATGTTTATGGCTTCCAAATTTAAGTGAGGATGAGTCCTTGCAAGCAAGAAACCAAAGGATTAATGAACCATAGTGTTACTTCTACATAAAGGCGTACCCAGTGCAGAGAGCTCCCGCTCTGTGCGAGGTCTGGGGAAGGGTGTTAGTGGCAAGCCTTACCCTCGCCTGTGCAATGCGAGGAGACCGCGACTCGAACCCGGGACCTTCCGGTCACAGGCGCTAAGACTCTACCGCTTGCACCAGGCCCACCCTTCTAACTTCTACAGAAAGGCAAATGGAAAATACTGCACACCAGGAATGAGCTAGTAACAATGAACACCAAGCTAATTGATGATGATTGAAATCCATCTGGATAGAGAATTACTGCAGTGATCCTCAAGTGTTCTGATTTTACAGGAACAAACATATTTATACATGTTAACATAGAAGACAGCAATCTATGAGAAAAGTCCATGAAGGACATATTCAAATCCATGATGCACATTCTACAAAATCACCATTTCATTTCTATTTCTAAACCTTTCAAAAGTTAAGATATGAGGCAATACTTCATGCAACTACTAATATATCACAATCAGTATAGACCTACCACAGAACTTCAGATATGGGTGTAAAATGAACCAACCTATATACACAATTCCTCATATGCCGACCATAAAAGAGGATCTAGAGACAACGCTTGTGTAAATTGTTCAGCTGGCTGAAATTCTGCCTGTGCACCTACATGAGGTTGAGATAAATATATAAACTCTCAAAAAAAATAATATGCAGCAACATGGATTCAGTTACCATGAATAATAAACCTGTAAATCACTCCAAGGAGGTAGTGTCCTGTTGCTCCACTTGGAACCTGCAGAAGGATGAAACTAATATTAGAGACAAGCTAACCCTTACAGGAATTAAAGCAAACAAAGATGTGATTGATTTTATTTTCTCCCTAACTACTTCACCCCTGTAGAATCAATGAGCAACCTCAGCTGAACGTCATGCCCCAGGAAGAAAAATGGAAAGAAAAAACCAAGAAAGTTTCAAGCCGGTCCATGCAGTGCAAAGCATGTACCTTGTATCTTGTAATACTAATGCCTCTCTGGTATCTTCTATCTTCTACAACTAAAATATTTATAACTGTTCCGTCCACAGATGCGACACTAAAACCGCTCGCTTCCGTGCATCCTGGTGCGACAAAAAAGAAAAGAAAAAGAACGCACCATCAGGACGCGAGCTCCCCCCGCCTAGCTGTCTCCACCGACGCCGGTCTTCATCCCGCCTGTGCCGCACAGCCGCTGCGTTGGCCTGCCTACCCCGACGCCGGTCCCCCGCCTGTCTTCCTACCCCGGCGCTGCGACGAACGCGCAATAGGCCAAAAACCCTAGCGGCCCGGCTGCAGATCCTTGCTGGCCGGCCACAGCTCCGGCGCCGCCGCCATCACTCCAGGGATCTCGCCGCCCCCGCCGAGGACGCGGCGCCGGCCGGATCTGAGGACACCCCTGCCCTGACAGTGATGGCTTATGAGGCCGCGGCATAGCTCCCTCAAAGAGTCAAAGGTGCCCCCACCCCACTCCGTCGTGTGTGCCGCCCCACCCCGGATCCATGGTTGTCGTGGCGGAGGCTGGATCATAGTTGCGATGGGGGGCTGGTTCCACGATGGCCTTCCCCAACGTCTCTGTCCTCCACAATCTCTATGGTTGTGAGTCCACTCTCTACCTCCCTCTCTGGATCTGCATTGGATCTAGCATTTCACCCAATATGAGCAGGGAGCAATTGCAGGCGGTCATGTTTAAATTAATCATGTTTTGCTTTTGGATGCAACGTAGGTGTTTGATGGTATTCCACTGCGAAGAGGAGCTCCAGTCCTATCTACATCTTGGAGGTATGTGATTTCGAATTTTGGGTCAGTTGCTTGCCTGCAGTTCATTCTTTAGAATTGAATACTAATGAAAAATCCTGTTGCCTCTACTATCTGATGAAAAGCAGCTAGCTCCTTAACTCCTTATTATCAATATCAACCGTACTCTGTACTTGCATGTGTATCATAAGATTTGTGCTGAAACTCACCCATCGCTGCCCATATGCTCAGAAAAGAGCCATTGCTATTCTGCCACTAAAAGTAGAAACCCCTATGTTGCCAGAGAGGAGGCATCCTAGAAGGTAGAAGCCCCTCACCCCAAGCCCAAGCCCCAGCACAACTGTTTCATCCTGATGCTTGGTTCCAGACTCTGTGCAGCACCCGTGCTTCCATGACGAGGGGAAAGGTAGCTCGCCTGTCTGTGCACACACTTCCAATTGAGAAATCATTCTGAATCCTACAAATAGATGGTAACGTAGAGTGCCTGTAATCAAATATTCACCAAAGTATTTACATGTCAGTTCAGCAAACATATACTAAGGAAGCCATTCAAACCTAAGTGCTTGTTGATTTTATAAAAAAATAATTTTTTATTGTATTTTACTATTTAATTAATAATCCAACAGGGCACTACTTTTCCTTTTTTATATATTCAACCATAATGAGCTGCAAATAACAATTATTTGTTGCAACATGCTCTAACCCTAGTAAGCTCTGTTTTTTTTAATGTTTTTTCAACTTTTTCAAGGTGATCTTGATATTTAGTTTAACGAGACAACTGATCATTTTTAAATCTGTTTGGCATTGTCTTGTACTTTATGACCTGATCAATGTACTTTCATTTTCATTGTTCATAGTTCTGAAAAAAGGAGGAGAAGAAGGAACTTATCTAGAAGAGTGAGAGATTGAAGCAACCACTGAATTCAGTAGGGGTGAGTGCAGCTTGTTTCTGTGATCTTTGAAATAATGTTGAAACACGAGATGCTCGATCACCCACCAGAGACTAAGATGGAGATTGGAGACCTCACTCGGACCTATCAATAACCCTGCCAGAGTCAAGATCATCCTAGTGTGTTGAAGTTCTACCTTAAAGACAAGTTTTTGGTGTTGCTAATAGACAAGACACAAAAGGTTAGGTGCAGGTCGAGGTTTATCCTCAACGAAAAAATTCATAACACATCCAAGAGATGACATTGTAATGTTTTGTTCCAAGAAATTAATTTTGAAAGACGTGTGTGTGTGTGTGTGTCGCACGTGCATGTCTACAAGATCTTATAACTTGCTTTACTGCATTATTAATTTATTAATAAGTATGCAATGTGCTAATGATACATGTGTTGGTGTTGCGGTGGAGGTTATTTCCACTACTCAGGTTAGGATTCGCAGCAAATTCCAATTATGCATGTAGTTGTATGGCAATTAATGGAGTTGCAATGTAATTATCCATAAAGAAAAACATTGGAATATAATTTGAGGGAGTACCAGTTTGTGATATCTTTTTATGGTTCTAATTTACACACCCGAATGTTGCCGTAGCGTTAGCACGGGCATACTACTACGATGGATAACATAAATAAACTAGCTTTATTGAAAATTTGCATTGTGCATTGCATGCGTGCGGCCGCTAGGTAAGAGACGGAGGCATGGAGCACATGTGTGCTGCTCCTGGTACCATCCTTCTCAATGAACAGTGTTTGCAGTTTCGGCCCAACAGTTGTAGGGTGTGGCCTACTCATCCATTTGCGACACAAAAAATAATCTCTCTCATCTCTCACAACTAAAAAGATTAAAGAGGAGACACCGTTTTGTTGCGACAAAACCTTCGCCTCACCTTCCTGCCCTCCCCCGTGCGATCGTCTCCTCCCTCTGCAGATACAACCGGTCATGGCAGCTGGGCACGCCACCACCGCCTGCGCCCGCCCGCAGCTGGCCACGCCGCCGCCGCCCACGCCCACCCGCAGCTGGCCGCTCCGCCGCCGCCGGGCCTGCCCTGCACCAACGCCCCCCCTCGGTCGCCGCCCCCAGACAGTGCGCCGACAACGTCCCTGCCCCGGACAACGTCCCTCCGTCCTATAGTGCGATCCGTGTGTTTTTATAACAAAAGTTTAGCTGTGCCGTAAAACGCACGGGCACGAACATAGTAACATAAAAATCTAGAATTTCCAACAATCAAGGGGAGCGGACATGCATGCGGCTTTGGCCTTTGCCAAAATTGGTACGAACAACACCGCAGGAAAGATAAATCAACCAGGCCTAGCATTACTGTTGAGGAAAGATAAAACAACGGACATGCATACGGCTTTGGACTTTACCAATATTGTAGCGACAGTACTAAAGGGTTATGTATCAGCAAGTGATGTTTGCATGGCATTAAAGTAGATATCAATTGTTCGTGCAGAACTCTGTGAAACTACCATAGGTGGATATTGTCGACAAGAGTAGTTAATATCATTGCTAGTTGGGTGTATTATCTTATACATGTATTGTGGGCAACAGGATTATTTACTTAACAGATTGTTTCGTAGGAGTCGAGTTGAGTCATCCCTATGATATTCTATAAACTTCGAAACTTTCCATCTAAGGCATGGATTAATATGGGAAACAACCCCAGCTAAGGAAACTAACTATTGCTATCAATATTTTATTTTCAAACTAATGTACCGCTGCCAGGTCCCATGTGAATAATGTGCTGTTAATATAGTACTGAACAAAAACTACCTCACTGCTATAATACCACCGCACTACCTTCTACACAAAAACAGAATCACTCAAGTTTTCACACACCAACTTGTAACAGCATCAAGGCCAATGGATGAGATATTTGCATAAACAAATCCTTTCAGAATATGATGTATACCTCCATGTTTGGTTCATTGACTGGACATAGAGTTTCTTCTGCTTCAAGCAAGAGGTTCATTCGAAAGCATGATGTAGCAGACAAGTAACGGGACTCCGGCAGCTTCCTCCCTTCATGTCACATCAGAAACAAAATCCATAAATCATCCAAACTACTTTAATATAGTATATGTAAAATAGTATGTGCTGAGTTGTTACATGGTGAGCAGATGCTATTACCTTTCAAAATGTGGTATGCAGCATATGGCTGGTTGTTGTGGAGGTAGAAGGTCGCTAGCAATTGCGCATTGGTCTGTGCACAGGAAGTAGAACAAGAACATTTAGTGCACACTACTATGTTGCAAATGGGATTAAAGTAAAAAACTAAAATAAGATTTCTCCGGAGCAAGGGTTACTAATTGAAAACCAAGTCTTTATAATAGTAAAGCAGGCACAAGATTCTGGTTACTAAGTGAGATAGCGGGTGCTAAGAAATTGAACGCATACACATGAAGCACTAAACACCACGAATTCAAATTGTGTTGATCTTCATCCCACGTGAAGGTGTAACACCCTAAAATTTGCATGATTATGAAATAGGTGAAATGATTTAATTATGCCTTTTGTGAGCATTTAAATTTAGGAAAATAATAACTTTGTTAAAAATAAAATCAAATATAGGTTTACATACATGTATGGGCATTCAAGCTGCTGCATATTATTTTTGTATTGTGTGGTTTGAAATCAGATTTCAAATTGATTTGAATTTGCATTCAAAATTTGTTTGGAAATTAGTTTAGAAAAAAGAAAGGAATTTCCTTCTCCCTCCTTTGCTTTCGGCCTGCTGGCCCGCTTCTCCGCGCCGGCCCAGTCTCGACACGCGCCCCGCTTCTCCCGCAGCGGCCCAACCAGCTCGGCCCAGCTTCGCTCGGCCCAGCCAGCCGAGACGCACACGCCCCTCCTCTCCTTTCTCACGCCGACAGGTGGGCCCGCCTTGTCGAGGTCACCTTCTTCCTTTCGCTCGTGACCGAGACGGATACGACCACGCCACCGAGTCCGCCTCCACCCCGATGCGCTCGGATGGCATGCGCCCCACGCCTCTGGCCCTCATATAAGTCGGCCCTGCGTTGAGCCGCCCTCACCTGACCCTAAAGCGCCAACCGCCATCCTCGCTTTTGCTCCAACAGCCACAAAACTCTAGCAGCTCGCGCCGCCGCCAACGCTGCCCGCCTCGCCGTGCACCATGCCACCTCGGTCAGCTCCGCGCCTTAGTAAGGTACCTAGCCGAGTTCGCCGTCATCTCCCCTCTCTCCCGGTGCCTTTGGTTTGTTGTATCATGGTTTGTAGACCGAATTCGACGAGCACCGCCCGCTCCGACCATGGCACCGCCGCGCTCGGCTCTGTTCCGGCCGGCCGGCCGACCACGCCAGCCCTCTCCCATCTGTCCAATCTAAGATCAAGGGTCAGGATTAGAACATACTCTTTCGCTTATAGTTTTGCAAAAAAGGTCATTATAACTATTTAGATCTCAACCCGACCCTGCCTTTTCTTTTAATAGTGGACACAGTCCCTCCGTCGTTTTAAAGTCAGACTTTGATTTATTTTATTTCAAAAATCAAGTTTCACTTATTTACAAAATTGTCACTACCGTCTGTAGGCCATATCTTCTCCGTTTTAACTCTGATTTGATCCGTTCAACTTGCATTAGGTTCGTAATTCCATAATCTACATGCTCATACTATGGTTAAGTATGTTTTCAACTTTTCAAATTTGAGGTTAGATTTAATTTATTATTTTATTAAAGAAAATCTTGTTTAATTCATAACTTCTTCGTTTTAGCTCTGATTTATGTGATCTTCGCGTCTGCGTGTTCGTAGTAAGACGTAGATTTCTTTTACAAACTTTTCATATTAATTTTATGCTGATTGGCGTACTGTTCTAATCTATAGCTTTTGTTTGCTATGCATGATTGCTTCTGGATGCTTATATGTTGTTGTGGTTATCGAGTATAGACGGTGAACAATTCGTGGATGACCAAGAGTATTACTTTGTTGAGCAGGATCAGCAAGAGCACTTTCTTCAAGGCAAGTATAGCATGGGATTATCCTTGTTTTCCTATCAATTTTAATATATTAAATTTATGTTGCATGTGTCACCTTGATATGGATTTCCTAGTATTGAACTTATACCTTGTCTCCAATGGGATATGCATTAGGTAACTTTGCTAGTGCTCAATTAAACCATGATCTTGTAACTTGACTAATGGTATATGCAATAAACGTTAAAACATGACTTTTTAGCAACTTGAAAACTAGGGGCTGGAGTGTTTAGCTATTTTCTAAATGCTTCAGATTACTCTCCCTAAGGACTTATCTGTAAATGAACATCCGGGACTTACAGTATAGCTGTGAGGGCTACATGGCTCTGGCTTTAGCTCAGTATGAGGACCTTTTCTAGCTTGTTAGAGGTTACCTTTATTGGCGTAAGAATGGCTTACCGAATCGGATATAATGCGGCCTCTGCCCCAATGTGTATAGGTTGCGTGTCAATGTGCCATCGGGAAGGGGACTCTACATCTGTTTGCTGAGTGAATCTAATGGCCCTAACTTGTTAGATGAACCTTTGAAAGACTTCATAGTGACCCCTAGCTGCTCACCTTGGAAGTGTTTTGAAAGTATTTAACCCGGGCATATGGGTAACGCGACTCACAGTGAAAGTGTACAACCTCTGCAGAGTATAAAACTGGTATATCAGTCGTGCTCACAATCACGAGCGGCCTTGGACCCTTATGGAATAGATGATCACTAAGAATTATTGGTTTGTGCTATTCATTATTCATGTTTACATTGATCATATGTTTTATTTTGGGATTGAAACAACTTGTTGCTACTCTTATGCTAAAATTATGACAACTAAAAGCTAAATGATGTTAAACCTGTGTCAAGCCTTTTGAGCCTCATGAACCCCATGTTACACTTGTTGAGTACGACACGTATTTACGCTTGTTTATTTTCATTATTTGGACAAAAATGTTGGATGGGTAATAGATGGCTATGGTAATGACGACTTTCCTGAGGATTACTAGACTTGTGGTCAACCAGTTGACATCCCTGTGATATGGAGCTTCCGCGAGAGATATTTTCTTTATGCTTCCGCTATATTTATGTGAAGACTATGTCTTAATATTCATGATGTAATAAACACTTGTGATGATACTATCTATAATTTATCGGCTTATATGTATGACTGATCTCTGGGCACACATAAGATTTTGCATCCCATTCTATCCTTAAAATTGGATGTGACAGATTGGTATCGAGCCATGTTGACTATAGGACGTAAGCCTAGTTAGCTTCTTTTGCTTCTCTTATTTCATGCTTCCCATCTCACCCTTGTTATTTACTAAAGTTTTATGCTTCTTTTGTCTCACTCTGTTATGAAAATTATTGCTTCTAATCTAACCAAATATAATTCTATAGATGTCTCGTGCCAATAAGACCGCTTGCATCAGCACCGGAGGCTACTACCCACCTCGTGGCTTGTATGAGTCCATAGAGCCATGTGAGGAGGAGGAACCCCAAGAGCAAGAAGTTGACTCGCCAACACCTACAGCTACGCCTGAGCCATTCCAGGTAGAGCCTAAAGAAGAAGAACCCAAAGAAGTAGAGGTCGTTGCATTATCTGATGAGGAGGAGGAGGAGGAAGACGCCATTCAAGAGGATGAGCCGATCCCTCCCCTGAGATGGACTACGAAGGTCTGATATAAGCCGGGTGTGAATTCTCCATCTCGCACCACCGACTTATGGGGATTCTTCAGACCTACTACGCCGATTGGGATGCGGCCATGGAGTACGTCTGCAATGAGCATACGCATCCTCTAGAGGACACTTATTGAAGACCAGGGTGTGCATCTCCATCAGGGATGAATATAAGGACGCATACCAACTAGACTCGAACTATGCGCATCACGCCCATTGTGTCACCATGAAGATAGCATAGAAGATGCAGCCGTTGTAGCCTGCATGGGTCTCCGTGGTCGTCGCTCTGAGGATATGAAGGAAGACCAATACCGATTCCTCCCTCGCCAGCATCTTGACTTGGGATGGGCAATAATGGACCTTGAAGGCACGGATCCCACTACTCAAGTGATGGTGAACTATGCCTATGAATTGGTGGACAAGAATCGACGGCTAGAAGATCAGTTGAAGGCACAAGAGGCGACCCTTAAGAGATACCGACAAGTGATAGATGAGCAAAGGGTGTGCCTCAACCTGCCAAGGATGTACGAGGAGCTTCCCCATAAATTTTGCCCATAGGTGTTGGAGTCCTTTTTATATAATAAGACGTTAGTAGAACGGGTCAAGTTGAGTCAAGTCAAGTCTAGAAGTGCGGTGTGAACTTTAGTGTGCCTAGTTGATTTATTATTATGTTTATGTGTGAGTTGGATTTTTGTAATGAGTGCTGGAACTTTGTGGGCATGTCCGTAAGTTTCATAGTTAAGAATATTAAAGTTTGAGTTAATAAATAAATAGTTGGGTTTGGTACATCATGTTCTCTCGGATCTGTTTTTCGGAGTAGTCTGCCTTATCTCAATGCCAATCTAAATCTACGTGACCAAAAATTATGAATTTTTATGGAAACAACTAGACTTAAGTATCTTTCCAATACCTCTAGAATAATCCCTATATCTGATCTGGTTTGTGAGATATGACTGTTTCAAGTTAAAGTTTCTGCGCAATCTGGAATCTAAAATAGTTTCAGTTGTATCCTATTTTTGAGTAACCTAACCATGGAATCTAGGCATGTGGTCTAAATAAAAGTTGTAGATAATTTCTTGAGATTTCCAACCATGTAAAGCACGCCTCTTTTGGATATCCACAACTCGATATACGACTGTTTTACCGAGCTGCTGTTGTTGAAACTCGTCCAAAAAATTTTCAGAATATATTCTATATCTCTATAAGTACCTATAACTTGGAAATCTCTAAATTTTGAATATTTGTGTTGGATGTCAGATGTCTAGAAGAGGAAGAGGCCGAGGTCATGGAGGTGATCTCCCACATCCACCACCACCACCGCCACCGACTATTGAGCAGCTTATGGTCGTACAGACACAAAGCTTATGCAAGCTCTGGTGCAGAATCAGCAGAATCACCCGATTGGTGGAGCACCGCATGAAAAGTATGGTGAATTCTAAAGGGTCATCCCCCAGTGTTTTCTCATGCCACTGATCCACTGGAAGCAGATGATTGGCTTTGTGTAGTGGAAAAGCAACTCAACATAGCGCAGTGCGATGACCAGCAGAAGGTGTTG